ATGGATGGATGGATGGATGGATGGATGGATGGATGGATGGATGGATGGATGGATGGATGGATGGATGGATGGATGGATGGATGGATGGATGGAGCTGCGGAAAAAATTAAGAGACAACAGCACAATTTTTTGTTTCACTCATTTCTCAATTTATGGGTGTGCGTCTGTGAATAATGTATATTTTTCTGCAATCTGGTTCTTCCCTGTTTCTCATTGATGAAGGGCTTCTTCCTTGCTTTATGGGATCTCAGTCCTGCTTCTAGGAGCCTGATACAAACTATCCTAGCAGTGCACTTCACACCTGCATTTAATGTTTCCCATTCCTTTTGAAGGTCACTTGATGTCATCCTCTGATTCATAAGAAACTGTCGGATAAGTTAACGGTCATCCCTGGCATTAGAATGTCGCTTCTGCCTTTTATCTGGTTGGGTTCTGGTCATTCCCAGTATCTCCTGCTTCACCTTATTTTTGTGTACTGCTGTCTTAGAAATTTTTAACCCGAAAGCATCCTTTTGTTTTAGTTTTTAGTTTTAGTGATTATTCGTCAACACACATATATAGACAGTAAAAAAGACATTCAGACATTAATTAACAGTGACAGTACAATGACTGTTGGGGAAGGTAATGCGTAGCAATGCGACTGCAGGCTTCCTCTGCGCTGCCCGTCGATGGAGCTCGTACTTGAACACGGCGATGAGAAGGTTCACTAGGAGGATGTTGGCGACCAGTAAGTAGCAGGCCATGATGGCGGGGGTGAGCCAGGCGCCGGGGATGCAGGGGGGGAGCTTCTTCCCATCCTCATCATACATGTTCTCGCCACACGGAGCTGTAGCAGAACGTAAGGAGGCGTAAGTCTGCGGGACCAGTGGCCCTCGAATGTGAACGAGGAAATAACCTGTTATAACACCTAGATGAAGATCCATTAAATAGATCCATTAGCTGAATTACTTGTCTTTAATGCTTTTGTACAAAACACTTAAAATATTGAATTTACAGTATTTATCTTTAGATAAAATGTAAGACAATGGTGTATACAGTATATTTACAGTTACTCTCAATTGCTTTGGTACATTTCATGAAACATAATTAACATTCTCACCATTATAAGAGTATTTCTCAAAACAGTTCCTGCATATAGCTATGGTTTAGCTGCAAAAGCCTGTAACTTTAAGCAATACAATTAACTCATTTCTCAAAGGCAAATTATTTCCACCAATAAATTAATCAGTGCCACCAAAATGAAAAGTACAATCAGCATCGTTTTAACCATGAGGGTCAAAATACTTGGATATATTGTCAGTGTAAGTACGTTCCTGAGCTCAGAATGATAGTCGGTTCCTACTTTCTCATTGCCACTGACTGATCATTTTTCTTTAGCAAACTGATACTTATTCGTGTCAGAGACACCAGTTTTAACATTGCAAGGCTCTACATTACAGAATGTAAAGTTCACCGGCAAGAGAAAGCACTCGAATGCACATGTGTCTTCTTCAGGTCTCAGGACAAAGTACAAAGTCACACAGCACTGTATAACACAAAAACAGTGATTCAGCAATACAAGGACAACAAAATAAAAACAAATGAAAGTACTGTGGAAACCAAAAACACAACAATGCTGTATCACTCCAGTGTATAGAACCTGTTTTAAAGTCATTTTGAAAGTTTGGTTAATGGTTTTGCCTGTGATGACTAACACGATGTGCACGTACGTATATAGCTACACAATCTATTTTAACCAACAAGACTAAAGCAACTGAAAATTGTGCCAAATGATGACAGTTGTACAACTGCTGTGCAGAAGTGACATTATGGTGTGGGGATTACACTCGTTGCTTTGCAAATGTTGTCATTTGAGAAATGCTCCAAAGCAATGGAGAAAAACTGTAACAGCATATAAATAGGATCCTGTATCATGAAGGTTACTTACGGTTGATTTCCATCGCGTAGACTACAGGCAAGCGGCATTATGAGAAGCAAAGATGGAGCAGAACCATTATAACATAATAACCGTAAACAGGCCTGAGAGTAAACCAGCCTTAGTCTGTCAGGAAGAAAACCATAATATACATATATTTCCATTTTAAAAACAAACTTACTCAATACAGACCCTTAGCAGTTGAAAAGAAAAAAAATACTTATTCCACCAGAGATTTTATATGTCAATTATTATGTTTAATATGTTCCTTCTGATAGAGACAGCAGATGATCGTCAGCTCATGGGAAAGCCAGAGACTCACGGACCAAAATTGTATTTTACTCAACGACAGTGATCTAGATGCTTCATATTTTTAACTGTTTAGATATTAAGCAGTATTTCAGTGTAGCGATTATCCTTTTAAATTATAAAGACAATCACAGATATAAAGGGCAGTAATTATTTTATTGTGCTTAAAAAGTGCACGTTTGTGCCATTGAGCCAGCAGGGGGAGCTATATGAATTACGGACAGAGCCGCAAACCTTTTCAGAGTGAATGGCTGAAGCTGAGGGGCTAACTGAACTGCTAGTGGCAATGGACCCGAATCCGGTCAATGGATAATGGACAAGAGTCAGAACTGATCATCCGCCCTTGAAACAGGAAACAGAATCTTACTATGAATTCTAGTCTTACGATCTATGGAGTCCGCAAACACCTCTCCGTAGATCATCCAGTAGGGCATGTAGAAGATGTTGCGCGCCAGGCGCCATGTGGGCTCCTCGTCCGGGTGTAAGATGGCCTGCCGCGCCACACCGAAGCTCATGAGCACCACCAGCATGATGACCACGAAGTACAGCATGTCGATCATCTGGGAAACACAGGGAGGCGCTGTCTGGCACCCACTTACAGAGACTCCCTCTCCCAGGACCAGTGGCACATTAATGCATAAGCTGTCCTAGGCTATAGTCACGGGCCCCAGCAAACATCCAAACTCTGTGGAACATATCTGTACCATTGATGGTATATTAATGCTGTTTGTACCTTGGGAATGTTCCTCAGAGTCCATTTCTGTACCTTAAAAGGTACAATTACCTACCACTATAGGGTACAATTGGCAGACCCTTGAGGGTACAGCCCCAGAGACAAGCAAAGGTACAAAGTGGTACTCGAGAGTGTGAGTGCCCATACTGGTGTCAGCCTAGGAGCCTTGGATAAGTTAACGGGCTGAGGACTGACCACAGGAAATCCAGTCTTTCATTATCATTGAAAGCTGTTCCTCTGGGACGACTTTTCTCCACGACCATGTAAATCTTACCATCTTGCCAATCATCATGACATAGGGTCCCAGGTATTTGTTGACCCCAAAGATGTCCAGGACACGGATGTACCAAAAGATGATGTCCACACAGTAGATAACGCGGCCGTAGCCCATGTAGGGCTCTGTCTGCAGCCTGAGCAGCAACCCTAGCAGGAAAGTGGAGATGGCCACCAGGTCTGTGATGTTCCAGTACTCCTCCAACCACACGTTGATCTTCAGTCTTAGTTTGCCAGGTTCGGACATCAGGATCTTAAAGGGATATGATGAATGTAGACGGCAAGACATTCAATATCTACTACGTTTGTGAGGACATTTCTCAGGTTGCTGATTTCTCCAGGTGATAAAACACATGAAAATTGCATTTGTGTTTTTCATGCTTATTGGACATTTTTGTAAGACTAAATTCACAGAAGTAGAACAGAAGAGCCATTTCCTCACCTGGCGGACCTTCTCCAGCCCCAGGGTGATGATGTAGGAAATGACTATCCACTCCTGCAACGAGGGCCAGCGCTCCATCTTGACCAGGATTATGTAATTATACAGCATCAGATACATCAGGTATGAAATCTGGGCAAAGGAGAGGTGATGGATTTTGGCATGAGTCTGGTAGATCAGAAAGCCATTCTTTCAGGGATTCAACTCTCATATTTAGTAAGGTTACTTATGGTTACGGTTAGGGCTGGGTAGGGGTTAAGGGCTAATCATGTTGGGATTAGAGTTTTCCCCATAGAAATGAATGGAGAGTCCCCACAGAGATATAATTACAAACCTGTGTGTGTGTGTGTGTGCTCGTTGTAGTGTTTAAAAAAAAACAGTTTATTCTACTACAAGAATGATCTGTAGACTTCATCAGTGAAATGTGCTTTATACTGTGTATACAGTATATATAACACTCTTACAGTGTTAAACCAAAACTTGGTGAATGGGGCATTGTAGAATTCATAAATCTTCAATCCAATGGGAATTCTCCTCTGTTTGCTGTCACCTTCCTCCTCATCGTCCTTTTTGGATATCAGATCAGCATTGACATCCTGAAAGCAGCATAGAACCAGGGTTAAAACTGTGTGAGCGGTTCCACCAAATGCAGCCACCAGGAGGCGCCGTCCACAGCAGGTGCACATCCCGGAAATTATGGCTACCTTGCTGGATTTGGTGTCATCCTCCCTCTCTTTTCCATCCTCATTGTTTCCAGACGCTTCTTTTAACTCTTCTCCAATACGAAAATCCAAGAACAAAATCAAGGGTGGGAAAATGATGCCAAGAATCACCTGGATTTTAAAGGAATTCATCGGTAAGGCTGGGAAGCACAGGGGCAATACTCAGTCCTGGGCTCATTTTAATGGGATTTAGCTGTTTATTGATAAACCCATCATAAATGGATATTTATTAAAAGTGCAAGTAAATTGTTACCAATTTTAATTACAGTTGTGTTAATAAAAATGTGAATTGACAACTGGATTTAACACATTTATACCAGTTTAATTATACATATTTAATTATTACTTAGCTACTTATTTATTCATCTGTGGTATAAAGGAATTCCATTTCAAAATTCCCCAATATCATTCTCTACATTTTATTCTGTCATAAATCAGTATTAAAAGGTAAAAACAATTGCTTTTGTCCTCATATGATGATCAGGAATGTTCTTTCTGGTTTTACTGCTTTCTCAATCAACCACAGATATCAGTAATTAGGCAGGAACAGGACAGCGAAAGGGTGGTATTACGGTGCTGATTGAAAGTGCTCAGTAATCCCCGCCGCCGTGAGCTCAGCGGCTTCATTCCAGCGCTCGGTACCTGCAGTGATCTGCTCAGGGCTCCCAGAGGTGCTTGCAGCAGTTACTGCTTGTTCCCTCACACAAGCGTGGACTCCGTTCATTGCACTGATGATAAACCCCATCACTTACATGTTCCTCCTGGATTAACGACTTTATCAAAATTATGTGTGACAGTCTTTGTCATGATTCCACAGACACCTGAAATAGGGTCTTTCTTTAAGAATTAAGGACTTCTTTTCCAGAATCAGCCCGCCTCTGGATAATGACCTTCCTTTCTGAAGTAACACCCTGGAATTAAGCCACATATTGCTGAGCTGAGGTTGGTATGAAAACGTACCTTCAGACCCGGGTTCTTGCCAAATCTCAGGCAGCCCATCCACATGTCGGTGAGCAACATCTGGCTGCACGTGTGAGCTATGAAGTCCCGGTGCTTGGCCGCCACCGCCAGCTTCAGGCATGTGGAGTTGCTCCAGTTCTTCAGCTCATACGTGAGGAGCTTCATGGCCACCTGCTCGTCATGCTTGTAGGACTGCTCCAGCAAGTCGTAGGCCAGCTGTCCAAACTCCCTGCGGCGCACAGGAGAGCAAGAGCTACCCGCGTGTTCTCTCCGAGGGAGTGAAAGCACACAGACAGCTCGATGGTGCTGTAGCGGCGACGTGAACCTTGAGGAACTCACTTTGAATGGTTTTCGAGGTCTTGGGAGATGTCGTCCACCAGCTCACTGCGAGACGACTCATGGGACATGGCCTTGTAGAGCTTGCATGCCACAAGAGCCTTAGCCATAGCCTCCTCCCCCCTCTGCCAAAGGAAGAGCGCCATCTTCTGGCGCTTCATAAGCACTGCCCACACCATGAGCTCATGGAAGGGGTACTGAAATCGGCTGACCTCCGGGTCGTCAATGTCGATATCAATCTCCTCCTCCTTCTTCTTTATTTTTTTCTTGCCTTTTGGCCGTGGCTCGTCATCCTGGTGAAATTTAGCGAGATTTGTCTTTAATTGTCAAAAAGTAGAGCGATTAAACTGAACAGCCCTTAAAATACATCACTGACATGGAACGGGCACAAAATAGTTTTCCGTAGTAATCAAAGTAACCATTTACTTTATTGGCTCACTACTCATAACCAAAGAGAAAACGGAAGACAAGAATGAAATGATGTAGAATTGCAGAACCACAGAAAGAGGTTCCAGTTCGGGTCTCACCTCCATTCCCAGGAGCTTCAGAGCTTTGGGCTTTGGGATTGCATGGGGGGGGGAGGCAGTGTTTGATTATTTACATGCATCACATTATTTCAAACTGTTCCCAGATCTCCGGTGTAATACGGACATTATGCATGTGGTGACGCTCACCCTCTTCAGCCCGTACAGATTGTTGTACAGCGTCCGGAAGGTCTTCCTCGTGTAATTACAGCGATAAGCCCCGCCCATGAGAAGCTCCAGCACCAGGCCAATGTCGATCAGCGTTATCTGGTAATCTGGTGGCAGGTTCCCCTGTAAGACATCAGGCCCAGGATCTGCTGTAGCAGCTGGATTGTTTTTAGAACTTGTCTGTATTTCGAAGGAGTATCTGACAGACATCTTCATATCTTACCTTTTTAACATCTCTTACTACAAAATGTAATGTATTCGTCGGCCCCAGCCTCTGCAATAACCACAGCAGTGTTAGTATGTAATGAGCACATTTCCTTGCACAAAGTATGGTGCCTGCTCCCATGGTTGCGGTACTGTTGTAGTCATGTGACCCGCATCACGTGACCCTTGCTGTTCTAAGATCAGCTGTGGTGTTAAGGGATCTCACCGTGTTGTACAGCTCCTCCAGGCGTGGAATGGTGAGGAAATGGTGGATGTTGACCCCGTTCTCGATCAGCAGTTTGACGAAGTCGACGCGGTCCAGCACCAGGGCGTCCATCATGGCCTGCTCCAGGGAGTTTACCTACAGAGGCCACAAGGGGGCAGCTTCTGTGCGGTAGGAGGACCTTCTCCCGGATGGTCTCTGTAACGTCTACGTGTGTCTGTCCTGAGCCGCCAAAGAGGTGCAGTGCTCAGGCCTCCCCAGGCAGCAGGGGTCCAATCTTACCCAGTTGAGTAGCTCCAGCTTCCGAGGATCCGTCTCCTCCGGCGGCTCTGGCTTCGCCTTCCTGCCCCGGCCCCTCTTGCCCCTGCCCTTGCCCTTGCTAGAGCGGAGGCCGACAGAGGAGGTCCTCCGGGTCTCCTGGACAGGCGGGGCCCTGGTGGCTGACAGGGCGCTCGCAGGCTAGCAGAGAGAGGCAGAGCCGCCCAGCACAGGGTCACCAGCCTGCTGCTTCTGGGGTTTGCAGTGTTTCTGCCTAACCGACACGATTATAGATGTCTACTGAACATTTTCGGGAAAAAAATGTGTTTTGAAGCATCTCTGGTAGAAAGCAGCTTGAGACCTTTAGGATATGTACTGACATGGGAGTAAATTATGGAGGGAATTGGGGGTTGTAACCAGCCAATATAAGCCCCTGGACGCCCTTAAATGGGTGGAGACCTCAACCCTCCCAAAGCTCAACCCAAAGTTATGCCCTTGTATACTAATGTTGGGATAAACACACATTTTAAGGCTGTACTTATGCAGCTTATGACAGCCTCTGCATTGCCTTGCATCTAATCGCTCCCACCAGCACTGAGACTCACTGGCAGGTGGTGTCCATAGACAAAGATCTGGCTGCTTGCGATGTCCACCCTGTTCCAGGCCAGCGCTAAGCTCAGCTGGTCTGCAGCCGACGCGTTGGTGCCTGAACACACACGCACACACACGCACACACGGCTATAATGGGGAGTCGCGATGTTGCCTCACACAACACGGCACATCAGATTACCGTGTGCTTCCATGGCAACCAACCACGGCAAGCGTGTTAAAGTAATCCGTCACTGGTTATGTACACTAATCATTTCCGACACCATTAAACCATAGACCAGCATATCACCAAAAATTCAATCCGCCGTTGTAGTCATCAATCACATGTCATACTTTACATTAAACAGATAGAAAACTGAACACTAGGCAAGTTATATTGCAGCTCTTACATTAATTGCGACCGGCTCATACATTTTACCACATTTTTACTGCAATTAAAACTCCCCATGAATGGCTACTTATTATAACCTGCCGTGCACATTCTGAGTGATTCTGAGACACTTTGTTTCGTTAATCTCCTGCATGGAGGCAGTACCTTTCAGCAGGGCTGTGAGGATGGCCATCTCGATGTCCTGCTGGCCCTCTGACCCCATGCGGAACACCGTTATCTGCATCACGGGTGAGACGTCAGCGCGCGTACTCTACATGGCTTTGCTGGTTCATTTTTAATCGCTGATATCACTTCTGCATGCATTCTGCGCAGCACACAGGCCTATAATCAAGTAGGTCGCATGTCCTCTGCGTCACAGGAAATCTGCTGTGATGGTGTGATGGATCACATGATGCAGAAATGCAGCTACAAGGAAGATGATCGGGCCCAAATCAGAGGGAGACAAAGTGAGACATCTGGGTATGTGTACAAATAGGCGGGGATTCCAGGCTGGAAGGTACCAAGGTACCATTCATGACCAAGCAGGATGACAACCTCTGCTGGGGCTTTGAGTCTACAGCCAACAGATTCAGCTCCAAAGATCTCAAAACACCTCAGTGCCTGATATAAGGCATGATGTGTCCCTATGACCTACAGACACACAGAGATTCATTATTGCTGCTCCAGGACAGGGACTTTAGCTCAGTGACAGTAGAAAGTGGTTCATTTTCGACATGAACATGTTAGGGCATCAGCCATGTATGGTCCTGAGACCTGGGATACTGCACTGGAAAGCAGGGTCATGAAAATGGGCTGCAGATGTGGCGGATATTTTACTGTAAGGCTAAGAGAAGAACAGAGGAGAAAGAGTAGGAATAAAAATGTCGCTGTGTGAGGTATATTTACGTACCACCTCATCAATACTGGCTGCACTTAGAGGTCGTGTCTATTATTTAATCCATAACATTATATTTAAATATTTTCACTGCACCAGTTCCCCATCTCTCTTCGTTGGTACATCATGCCTCAGGCTTCGATACTGGCTCGTCCAATCAACAGGACCCCAACTGGATAAGCAACTAGTCAACATGGATGGATGGTTGGATGAATGGATGGATGGGTGGGTGGATGGATTCTCTGTCAGTAAGAATCATGGTTGATATCTGCCAGTTATCAGCTGCTCTAAATATCTTTTCATCCTTTCCTATTTTAACATTAACATTCTTACAAAACAGTGAATTTGTAGTAGCATTTATGTAGATGCAACAGAGAAGACAGAGAAAACAGACAATGTTTCTTTCTTGGGTTATTAGACACATGAATTGTAATGTTTGTCACCAAATGGATAAGGACACAAATGAAGAATGACAAGATATGACAGATGATCAATTCTTTATTAATCGATTTATCACAAATAAATCACTTATTATAGTTCACATTTGCCACATAATATTTCCTATAAATATGATTATAATTTATATGTGCTTCAGTTCATAAATGTATAACAGTATCTATAGGCATGTTTCACATATCATCATGTCTACGATGGCTACTGCTCACACTGCTTCTAACGTTACTTACGAGTTCTCGCTTTTTCATGCATTCTGCGATCATCAGGAAGACCTGCTGAGCTTGGCTGCGGTTGTAGTTGAACGTCTTCTGAACAGTGACTAGGAGCTGGTCCTTCGCGTTCTCGCTGATGACCCTGTGGAGAGACAAGGTGGTTGTGGATTCCACCTGAAGGGGGCGCCGTGGTTTCTGACACCTGACATGGATCTCGAGCTCACCCTCCGTCCTCTGAGTACTTGTGAGCGAAGGAGATGATGTCGGAGGCTCGTCCGCTGCCGTCACATACCACCACGGGCACGGGGGGGTCCTCTCGCAGGCTCTCCAGCACGATGGAGATGACATTGGGCCCCCCCTCTACAATCAAACAGACCAGTGGTACGCCCTGGCCCAATCCTGTCAGAGAGACACACATGGTGGGCATGTTTATCGTTACTGAAACCCTCTGCTGGCTACAGATAGTCACTACACGAAATATTAAATAAATGCATTCCTTATTAAGTAGATGCTAAGGCAGCAAGCTCTGCTAACCAGCTAGCTAGCTATGACCTTTTGGGGCCCCAGAAAGAACTAAGCGACCCCTAATACCCAGAAACAGCCTGAACCAGGCCAATCGGGAGAATTACAGGTAAGCCGCTCAGCTTTTGTGCCGGTCAGAAACCAAATAAATTGCTGATTTTAAAATCGAGAAGAATAATAATTTTACAACTTAAAAATTCAACAGCAGCACTACAGAATGTTAACCGGCGAGTTTTGTCACGCACAATAGACCACTATTGCCCTGCATAGAGAGCTACGCAAATACGTGGCACGTGCATCTGTGTGATTGCTTGTCATTCAGGAGGTGCCACAAATAATCGCTCGCTATTGCTAATCACTGAAATTTTCTCAAATGATGGATGTTAGAAAGAGACCATGCGGGGCTGAAAAAGTCAGACTACTTGAACAATATGCTATTTATTATTTATTTTCTTCAGTAATACATCAGTAACACATTTATCGACTTGAATTGTGGCATCATTTATCAAAGTTCCCCCAGAACAAATATAAAATGGGCTGGCCTTGGCCATAAAACTCCAGGACAGGAAATTAGGCCATCAGACTCGATCCCGAGCCGTAAAACACTGGCTATGACATTAACCGTCCCCGTGTGACCCTGGGTGCAGTGAGTGGTGACAGCTGGGCACCCCTTTGCTGTCCCTGCCTTACCAGTAGCCCCAGGCATAGGATGACAAAGGGAAACCCAAAGGTCACATGGGCGAGCCGAACTGCCGGCCAGAAGAGCGCCCCCTAGCTTCTTTGGCCACTACAGCTCACACTACCAGTCAAGATAAATCTAAAAATAAATTTTAAACAGATAAGTACTGTGCAAACAATGTAGCACTGCAGTAAAGATAGTTTTGTGTTAAGTGCTGGACAAACAGGGTTTGGTAACGTTAAGCACTGAATGGCAGTAACAGGATCAATTTAACCACGTGTTCCCTTCCTGTGCCACATGTTCCCTTCCCGGTGGTGCGTGTTCTGTTCCTGTGCCACATGTTCCCTTCCCGTGGCGCACGTTCCCTTCCTGTGCCACGTGTTCCCTTCCCGTGCCGCATGTTCTCTTCCTGTGCCACATGTTCCCTTCACCGTGCCGCATGTTCCCTTCCTGTGCCACATGTTCCCTTCACCGTGCCGAATGTTCCCTTCACCGTGCCGCATGTTCCCTTCACCGTGCCGCATGTTCCCTTCCTGTGCCACATGTTCCCTCCCCGTGTCACACGTTCCCTCCCCGTGTCACACGTTCCCTTTCTGTGCCACGTGTTCCCCTCCCATGGTGAGTGAGGGCAGGCCCTGCTTACGTGTGTTGATCTTCTGCAGGGAGATGTGCTTCTCCAGCTGTCTGCGCAGCTTCACCTCGGCGCCGTACTTGCCGTGGGTGCCGTTGTCAGCCAGGATAAAATGGGAGTGGCTGTTGTTGAGCAGCGACAGCTTGCTGAGGGGGTTTGACATGGTCTGGTAGGGCCGTGTCACCTGGGGGTGCCACGAGCATCACACTTTACTTTGGGGACAGTGACAGACAGTAAATTTCATTCACATTCAGCTTAACTTCTACTAAATATTCCATCCATCATCTATCCATTCATCCATCCATTTTCTTTACCAACTAGTCCTATGCAGGTTTGCATGGGTCTGGAGCCTATCTCGGAAGCTACAGGCGCATGGGAGGGAATAATCCGGGATGGGACACCAACCCATAACGGTGTACTGTATATTACAACTAGGTGCTGTCTTAAGTCCATTCTTCAACATAAAATAGTTTTAAGTTATTTCTTTATAGGGGTGCTGTGCCCATGATCAGAAGGTCACTGGCCCAAATCTGACTTCTCTATTGGGCCCCTCTGACATAAATAATATGTAAATAGTTTCCAATGAGAGAAGCAATACAACCATATTGTCTAAGTGTGAGAAGGACCAAAACTGCTGGAGGAGTCTTCTTTCGGCTCGGCTTTGCGGATGGTCTGTTGTACTTCGCTACAGACTCACATCTCGCCCAATGAGGTCGCTACAGACTCACATCTCGCCCAATGAGGTCCTCCTTATTCTCCACGATGCCCCAGGGGGCGATGCCCACCGCGTAGACCTTCCCTCGCGATTTCGAGGAGTGGTCTTTCAATGCGTCTCCAACGTGCCGGACCACCCCTACAGCACACGGGAGCACATGCAGCCGGGAGAGTTTATTTCATATGTACGTGGTTCCAGGCCACTTAAGGAACTTTACTGAATAATACTGACGCTACAGTTGTAATTTGTTTCACAGGAAGTTTTAGCTACAGAGTGTTTAAGTCACCGTGTTGCATTTCTGTTTGCTCACCACTTGTAGAGAAGTTCTCATAATACTTATTCTGCCTTTAATATTTCTGATAATCATTCATTTTTATGAAACTCATATGATATTTAGATCTGCTGCTGCAGAGGCCACCTGCTAGTGCAGGGGTGTCCAACTCCAGTCCTGGGGGGCCGGAGCCCTGTGTAGCTTAATTCTTTCCCTGTTCCACCATAAATGATTCAGCTCAAGAGCTGTGTGGTAATTAGCACAAGGAGTTGAATCAGGTGTGTTAAATGAGGGGCAACCCAATAATGTGCAGGGCTCCGGCCCCCCAGGACTGGAGTTGGGCACCCCAGTGCTAGGGCACTGTTTCCCAGCCCAGTCCTCTGGGATCGGGGTGAAGCAAGAATGTGGGCCGTCTGGGGGTCCCTGAGGATCGGGTTGGGAAACACTACACTAGAGTAGATACCAACCAGTGCTGACTCCACCGGTGAAGATCCACGCCCCTGTGGTCACAGCAGCCTTGATCAGGCCCTTTCCAAAGACCTGCTTCAGTTTGGGCTGAAGGTCAAAGTTCTGCAGACCTCCGTGAACAGAGATGAGCAGCGTGGGCAGCTCCAGCTGCCAGTCCTTAATCATCAGCTGCAGCAAGCTGTCAGGTTTGGTGTCATAGGAAACCCGGACGTACTGATAGAGAAGCGGAGAGCCGTTAGTGAGCAATCTGAACAGACAGCAGTGACCCATGCCGAGTAAGAGGAAAGGCCCATACACTGCTCACAGAAATGCCTGAGATGACTGCTTAAGTCAATAAAAATATTGCAAATGTATTGCTTTAATTTAATAAAATCATTACTTTGTTCATATGTTGACAAAGGATAAATATTACACTAGAAACAAACTGTAATTTAAAGTAAAATAGTAATAAATTGAAACCTAAATTATAGTTCTAAAAAGGCTGATCTGAGTTAAAAAGTTTATCGACAGGCAGACTCTTTGGTTGCTTTTTAATTAGTAACACCTTTGCAATAACATAAACTCTAATATTTGCATTAATTATCCCTTTGGAAGGCAATGACTACGATTGCAATTAATAACAAAATTGCAGGATCAGAACTGAATGCGTCAATCAAAACAGTTATAACACTTGGCAAAGACACAGTCTGTGTGGAAGATGTGCAGATATGTTAAACATTATTTGTGAATGACTTTTATTATAAAACCAATAATTTTTTACAGAATTAAGCAAGTGTCCCAAGACTTTCTGTGAGCATTGCAGTTTGTAGGACTGAGGCGTGGCCTGTAGCTGTGGCTTAGTGCCTGTTGCATTGCAGTAATAGGGTCGTGACTGACGTACCATAGTCTTGTTGACGTGACCTGCGCTCTGGAACTCCAGGGTGCCGTAGGCGTCTGTGGGGAAGGCTTGGGTGTGTTTGGCCACGCTCCACTTCTCCTGTAGGATGTCCACCTGGACGTTCTCCTCCGCGCTGGTTTTGCCAGGAGGGATGGCCACATGCTTGTTGACCAGCTGACCACAGCTGCACCTACATGACGATGGACATAGTTCACAAGAAGTGGCCATAAGTGATAAATATGAAGGGCTTGTGTGGGTCCATTAGCGGCTGGAATGTAAGACACCTGGAGAAGAACAGAGACCCGAGTGAAGTGGAAATGGATGAGGGTCTTATTGTTTGTACGGAGCCACTCCTGCCCTTAATGCCCTGTCAGCGGAAGCTCTGTGGTTTATGATGCCACCATCCTGCAGCAGATACAAGCTGCAGCTCACAGAGGGTCACGGTCCCTGTCGATGGCTGGAGGGGTGACTCCAGAGGGCTTCTCTCAGGCTGGCCCATCACTCCCACCTTTATGCTGCTCTATGTGGGAGGCGTGTATGCTACACAAGGCTGTGATCCTTCAAGGATGTCACCAACACGTTATTTAGTATATGCACGGAAACATTAAGCATGTTCGTGGATACATTTAGCATGTGCATGATTACATTCAGCATGTGCATGGACACATTTAGCATGTTTGCAGATACATTTAGCCTGTGCATGATTACATTCAGCATGTGCATGATTACATTCAGCATGTGCATGATTACATTCAGCATGTGCATGGACACATTTAGCATGTTTGCCGATACATTCAGCATGTGCATGGTCACATTTAGCCTGTGCAAGGGCACTTCAGTATGTGTGAGGAAATTTTGCAGCTTTAGAACACAACATTATGCTAGTGAAACTGTCAAAATTTCTCTGTAATTTTAGATTTGTATTATTTTTTCATTTTTCTGTTTTAATAATTAAAGAAATACAGTCGGGACTATAAAATTACCAGAGACTCCATCCATAGGTTCCACCTACCTGTTTGGTTCTTTGCTGGGAAATATCTGGACGCATTCTCTCTTATAAAAGATTTTCTCTATCCAAGCTTTCTGAGCCTGCAAAAAAATAATGCGGAATGTGAAGATTAGATTATCGATGTGGGGAAGAACTGGACACTGCTGACCTAAACTGGGGACAAAGGTTGTGAGTCCAGATCACCAAGAAGGGCCTCGCATTCATCCACAAGCCACATAAAAACAGTATTAAAAAAATTTAAACATTCTGCTGAAGGGACACAGCACTCTCAGAGAGCTGTTAAACACACGCTGGCTTTGTCTGGCTTTTCCGGAGACTCAATCGCTATTCAGTGCTATGCATGCTTAACATTTGTTCATTATGGCATCCGGGGTGTTGCCCCACCTTGTGTCTGGACGAGCTCCGCGCAAACACGACGAATAGTTATAGGATGGATTGAAGGATGACTGGCCTCGGCATATCACTAAGAAATCAATGTGTTATTTACACTGTATTTAGTCGCCGTATTTCATTTCCGCATATTTGAATGTGCTCCTAAACAGCACGTTCTGTGTGGAAACAAGGCTCTCTGCTGAATCACAAGTAGGGCAAAGCATACATAACTGAACTGATGATAACAATAAGCTAACAAAAAGCTCAAGGTACGAAGGAAAAAAATGTACATGTGGCGCTTATTTAAGGAAAATGGCTTCCGGACACCACATAAATTGGTTACATTCGAATGGAGGTGTGGAAGACGCAACACATTGATAACGACCACATTTAGCTCTGCCTGAAGTTATCAGTGTTTAGTAGGAGTTAATAAAGTCGCAAAGACGCCGAATTCCCGCTTTGCAGACGTGAAACGAGCCCATAAAATCAAGCAGGCAGGCGAGTCCTAAAACGATTCCATAAAAAAAGCTGATTCCGTACAATAATCAACTACCATTCTGGGTATTCTGATCGTCATCTAGTGCTGGATCAAAATAACCGTAATAAAAATTAATATTTGCATTTTGATTCGTTCAGTATTACAATACTGAAACTTTTTAAACAAATCTCTCAACAACGTTGTTAAAATAAGATGTATCATTAAAAAATAAAAACTGTTATTCACTTTAAACAACACTGCCATGAAGAATGTTATACGTTTTTACACCGATATAAATTATTTGCACAAACATGTTTATAAATATTTATTTATACTTAACATTAGATTTTTTATTATGGCAACCATGTTACATATATTTACAGCTAACGCTACTCATTTATGGAATTATGATTATTTGGAACAATATTATATCTCATATCCAAAGTTAATTGTTTTTAGACCGGAAATACCTTTTTCGTGATCTGAACTCTTGGAAGAAACTCCCACTGATTTCTTTTTTTTTTTTTTTAGTCCACTACAAGGTCGACTCATACAAGACAAACAACTTTAACTGTGAACTTGTGTTAGACGATCTCTGCGATACGAAAGGCCTATGGGGCTCAAAATATATAGCGGCAATTAAATTATTGCTGCATATGCGGAATGACGCTTACAGGTAATGCGCGTGTGTCTTACCGTGTGCGCGTCAGCGCGGCGGCCTGGCCGGGATCCGCGGTAAGGCCGTGGGTCCACCCCTCGCGTGCTTTACAGACGAGCGCTCCCAGCTCATTGCTCCCAGACCCCCAAACCAGCGAGTCCCACAAGACGTGAACCTCCATCACTTTATGAGGAGTGGTTCATATGATGAGCATGTGAGCTGGCTCTTTGTTCGAGCCGGTCTCATGACTCGAATTCACGGTAATCCTTTTGGGAGTCGCATGACCCATCTCCTTGCCCACAGGGTATTTTCATCCCAAGATGGGACAAAGCACAACAAATCTGCTTTGATAGTCAACCCTAATACCCAATTTTCGCTTTTTTTCTTTACATTTTCCTCCCAGGACAGTGGGGTTGTGTGCGGGGATGCTGAGAAAGCGCGTCAAACGATTCCGTCCAGCCAAACCAGAGAAGATAGAATTCAGAAGAAAGGCTTAACTCTGACGTCTTTGTTATTTTGGAGGTGTCAAATTCTGCTGTTATTTCAACCACATTTACATAATTGAAACAATTGGTCTTTTCTGAAAGTATGCTTCCATTTTAATGTGATGCAGTCTATAGCCTATCGTATAGGCCCATATAAGTATTCCAGAATAGCCAAAGTCCTTTTTGCTTTTTAAATTTTTGCTTTATTGCTTTATTTTTTTCACCACAAAAAAATCTAACCAACGAAGTGAGAACGAAATGAAACACATCTGGGGTTTGTGAGAAGCTGTCCGTCGCCCTATACATTGCGAAGGTTTATATGAAGTTCGGTCACCGAATACACGTGGACTGTTACTCCTCACAGATATAAAGGACAAAGGCCGTTCCTACAGGTGCTTATGAAAGCCATTATGCACAGCAGTTATAACAGAAATCTAGGAAGCAAGAAATACGTCTGTTTAGAGCTGCACAGCATCGCCCGAATGCCCTGGAATCAGATTTAGATTTAATCAAATTAACATGATTTATGGCCAAGCCAAACACAATGGTATATTTCGAAACTGTTTTCTATCCAGATTAGAATAATCATCTGTATATCCAGAACCATGGAGGAGCAGTAGCGAGTGCTCAGTAAATATCCATTGTTTTAGCCTATTCAAACATAACCCAGTTTTTTTGCCTGAAACCAAATATATAACGAATAATAATGACTATATAATATATTATTTTAAAAAATCGTCCTTCAATGCTTCTGTCACATCAGCATAATAAACCCCTTCCTATAGGCATATAATCTAATAATGTCCTGCCCTAATATATCTCCCTCCTTCCCTCAAAAATCACTTATAAAAATAGTGTTTTGCATTTATATTCCTAGATCGCTCCAGGGAAGTCACGTGGCCATTCTCAGGGGCCGTTATTGTACCAGGAGTAAAATATGATTATGTAGATAAGTCATTAATACTATTTTAAACTACTATTATGAATTGCAGTTCACACTAATGGAAGGATATTATTTTCCATATGGATTCAACAATTAATAGGCTTATTATTACACTAATTTGGAAACTGATCACATGAATAAATAGGTGCTTATTTTTCTTCATTTTAAAACAATTTCTTATAAAATAAATGCGAATAAAAATTGCGTCTATAAATCAATCCGAGGTGGTTAATTGACCTGGAATGGGTATCTTTGAGTTTATAGTGTCTTCATTATAGTCCGAAAATATAACATGATTCTCATTGTGTATTTTTTTTCTCACAGTAGTATTTTCCTGGACTTACTGATGACTGAATAATGCAATTAGCTGAATAAAGGATAAACGAAACGTGTCATTGAGAGACATTAAGCATTCACCTTGAGAAAGTTCGCTTACATTCTTCATACACCAAGTCATGTTTTGGACTTTGGCCTGTTACCGAACAGAAAGTGCTACTGACTGGCTTTTACGATGACTCACTGGCAGCCTGTGGTCAAAGATTCGAAATCGCATTACTGCCAACAGGGATGCTACGCTATTACCATAAATCTGATCCGGAGTCAGCGTGAATGCATTTGATGAGGAACACCGCTGGGGAAGCATGCGGCATGTGATGTGATTAGGGACCAAGATGAAAGGTATTACTAATCGAATCGGCTCAGCTACGTGGCCAAACTGAGTGTGTCGCGTTAGCGCATAATGTAAGCGGAAAGATTTCGTCTTTGAACACCCTGCCCTGGATTAATGCTTGACAAGAAAATACTGAATTAAACACGAGTTTTCGCCTTGCGCTAGTTTTTTTTCGACGTTCAAAACATTAACAGCGGGGAATTAGTTCTGGTGGGGGCGACGCTCTGATTTGCTCTTATTTTACATTATGTTTTTTGAATGGCTGTGTTATTATGTTGTTCCTGTATGTGAAAGGACTTGTTGTACTACCCCAGTCCCAAATCCACTTATCTATCACGAGTACTATGTCTAATGGATTAGCCCTTAGACTTTAAATAAGTCATAAGATGTGTTCTAAAATAAGTACGATTATAAACAGATTAAACAAAATATTTCCAGACCATTATATAACTGAACGTTTTAACAAAAAATAATATCTCTGACTGTCCTGTTCTGTTTTTGCAACTGTTGTTTGATGTACGTCATCCAGA